AGGATGCTAGTCCGTCGCATGGTTACCCCTCCAGCAGTATGTTGCCGGTACCCATTTATACACCACCACCACCAGGTCTGGAGTTCGAGGTGTTAACCACTCAGCCATGTACACATGCCTCCACAGAAGTTTACACATGATTCAAAAATTAATATTTTTAAGATTCATGAATGTTTAGTTATTGTGACAAAAATTAACTGAGCACAACAGTTCAGTAAAAATTGGAAAAAAAAACAACGGTCGTTCAAAAAATAGTATACAAAAGGAATACACTGTACATGAAAATGAAGCAACTTTTAAAGAAGTACAGTTGACTCTCTCTTACTGGACACCTCTATAGGACAAACACATTGGTAAAACAGACACCTAGAGTTGGTCCCTGCCATTCTTAACTCCCTTTATTTGACTCTCTCTCTATGGGACGGACATTAATTGACAACTGAAAGGCACACCAGTAAATATACCAACTCCCAGTAAATGAAATAAAATGTAACACAAACCAAGTTGGTCAGCTCCACGCAGCTAGGGTTGTTCTGGTTGAAGAACTCAATTGCATCCAGTACTCTTTCCAAATTCTTGATATAGGCATCAAGCTGGCCAGTTGGACTGTAACAAACAAAAATTATTAAAATTCACCTGTGATACACTGTAAGCAAACTAAACTGCACAGTAATTATTTTATTTTTTAATATATGGGTCTTCATAAGAATTGTGAAAACACAGGTAAAATTCTGAAAATTTCATTGTAAAATGTCATTTTGTGAAATTCAAGGCATTTATTTTCTTGCACTCCCTTAAGAAATTTTCTTTGGTGTTATTACAGATAACTAATAATTACATCTATAGCCCTTGCTTTATTTTTATGGTACAAGGTCTTTGTCCATTGAAAGTTAAAATTACCCAATTTCCTGAAGGATTCCATCTTAATAACTTTTGCAACCCTTCCCCCAAAAGACCCCTTTATTAAAGGGCTTGAAAAAAGTCTGACCTGACAGTCCAGCACAAGTAGATTTTCTTGCTGGGTAAGTAGCTTTTAAAGCTTACTTGCCCAATGGGCAAGGGTCCAGGAACTTCATTCTCTAACCAAATCATTAACAAAGATAAGCAAGAAGTGGCCCTGTGCAAACAAAATGTGAGACCAGCTTGCCTAAAGGACAAACTGAAATTCACGTTTTTTTCGAGTGCCATTACTTACGCATCTCTTATGACATGTTCAACACTAGCATAGACGTGGTGATAACTGATCACATGATCCAAACCAGCCAAGGATTTTTCAATATCTATGCCAAGTTAATAGATAACTCAATTGTTGTCAGTCACAACACGTGACAATTAATTGACTACCGTAGTAATAATATTGTGGATTGTAGACCCCATTTCAGGTGCATTTCATTTCTTCTGATTGGATGTGCACAGACATGCCACAAACAAAGCAAATTTGATGAAATTTCCAAAAGGAAAAGTTATACTGGATTGATATCGCCAACTTTTACAAAATCATGTGAGCTATAGAAAAATCTGTTCATCTTGCAAACTATGCGCAGTCATCATGAAGGCGCACTTGAGCCAAA